TCCCCTTTCTCATGCAAATGAAATTAACTCGGCCCTTGTTGGTTCTGTTTCTTTCTTTCTTTTCCCCTTTTCCCAGGTTACAAGTTTACCTCTCTTGTGAGAAGGGGCGGAAAGAAAGAAACCTTAGAATGGGGATGTTTAGAAAAGACACGGAGGTGGGTTTTTTTCTTCTTTCTCCCCCTGGAAAATTCAGCACAACTCTGTCTGGAGTGCAGGGTGTGTGTGTACGAGTGTCCATTTCCAAAATCTCCTTGCAGAGGACACAGAGAAAGGGAGACGCCGAGAGAGAGGGTGTGTTATATAAAAGATTAGACCTCGAGAGCAGCCAATGTTGTCCACGGACGGAAAGCACCGAAGATCAATGGAAAATCGGCCTTTTAATAACATTCGCTCCTTAAGGAAAAGATTGTTGGTGTAGCCAAAACAGCAAATAAATAATAACGTTTCTGGGTAACTCATTGATCTGCAGAAGAGTGACTTCCAGCCCTGTAGCTTGTCAGCCAATGACATCACAAATCCTCATCAATATCATCAGTAAGGGGACCACAAGCAAATGATGCTATATTCTTGCTCGTATTAAGCTTGGCCACCCTAGCCACTGAAAAGCCATCATCATCATCATCATCATCATCATCTTAGAATGGCAGAGCAGGAAGGGACCCGATGGATCACGGAGTCTGGCCCCTGTCAAGGAGGGGGGGAATCGAACGCCAAAACTTTGGGCTCCATAGCTGGAGACCGAAACCACTGAGCTATAAACCTGCATAAAGTGGACTCGGAATGATTTTTGTTATGAAATATTTTCTGTGAAGGAAAGCTGGTTTCTTAAAACAAGATTCCAAGCTTGTTTACTCTGAGGTGAACCAGTGGTTCCAGCTGTTTTACTCATTCGTCCCGGACATAGCCACAAAACTTGAACCTGTGCGAATTTCTTAAGACCCCCAATTGCATTCGGTGGATTCGTTCTGGGAAAATATGCCTGGGCTTGCAGCTCCGCCATGTGGTTCGGGGCCTGTTTACTCAGGAGTAAGCCCCACCGAGTTCCTCAGAAGGCCTTTTTATAAACAGGCTCAGGCTGAATGAGTTTGTGCTCCAGGAAGCGCATTCAGGATTATAGCCTTAAAATAACAAAACTCGTTCATTCGTTGGATGAACCAAAGGACCGGACTGAATGCTGATAAAAAGTCTCACCAATTTCCTGCTCAGCAAGGGCTGCTGTGTACTGATCATCAACACTGCTGACCTAACAGGACTCTTGTGTATTTGTAAGTGACTTTTATATCCTAGCAGGGCTCCCACATCCTGAGTGAGGTTGAACTTGTCACAGTCTTTCTCTCAGGCTGACCTGCTTCACAGGGCTGTTCTGAGGATGCAGCAGACAGGGGAGAGGAAAGCTCACTGGATGAGGTTAAAAATGTAATTTAGATAAAATAAATAAACAGAAATATAGATAAGCATAACAGTGGCATGAAGAGGCTGGGATCCGATCGAGATCTGCAGCTATGCAAAAGAAAGAAAGAAAGAAAAGAAAAGAAAAGAAAAGAAAAGAAAAGAAAAGAAAGAAAGAAAGAAAGAAAGAAAGAAAGAAAGAAAGAAAGAAAGAAAGAAACCAAGCAGTCACTGTATTTCTGCTGGCCAAGCCATTGTTCAAGGATTCTTGTCAGACAAACAATGACAAAAGTTGGCGCTCCTCCATCCAAAGGGAGTGTAATGTAAACACAGGTTTTGCCTGCTGAAATGCTTTGATCCACAGAAGGACTAATCCTGCAGGGTTCACGCCATGTTCAAGGTTCCCGGCCAGTTCAGTCTTTGCATACTCTGGATTGCAAAAGGAGAAGAAAAATGGCATTTTAAGCACAACCCATAGAACAAAAGGGGCATGGCATGGCGGAGAAAGGAGGTTCTGGGAGAGACCGAAGGGGTACCCCCAACCGGCCTGTGTCCTTTTGGGGGAGGGAAAAGCATATGATGGAAACCCAACAAATAGGGGTGTCCTCCATATGGGTCGCTTGACCTCTTCCATCCTTCCCATGTTTGATTGGGTAAAAAGACTGCTGCCCAGGACCCATACCTCAACCCAGGGAAAACCTGGGGTGGTCCTCTGGAATTTGATGGACCACAACTCCCATCATCCAGCCCTTTGCTGGTGGGTGCTCATGGGAGTTGTAGTCCAACAGCCACTGGATGTCCCCTGAGTGCAGAGGTGGTACTGTAGTTGCCTGCTGAAACACTGAGGGCTGTTTCTTTATTGGGAGAAAAGGTCTTTGACCCTCAAGCAACTCCTGAACTTTTAGGGGAGGAAAACCTTCTGCCTTTTCCCTCTTCCAATTTCCTTTCTCCGAAAGGACGGAGAGTGAGAGAAGCGCTGTGCTATATATCCTTTTTTTAAAAGCGAGTCTGGGCTGAACAAACTCATTCATTCTCGAATCCGTCTCTCGACATGACAAACTTAACCCTCTGCAGCTTTGAAGGGTATTAACCTGGGATCAGCCCAGTAATCTCCCCGGAGCTTTGTAAACATGATACTACATGACAACACACAACCGTGGAGTAGAAGGGGAGGGGGGGAAAGGCAGAGGAGCTGCGTCGGCCCTTCCCTAAATGGAGCAAATTCCAAAATCTGCACTAGACTGGTGCTTTGGAGAGATCAACCAAAAAGGCACGGATAAAGTGTGCAAGCTTTTGAGAACCTGGAAAACTTGTCTGTTTGGGGTAGGGAATTCTACTTGCAGGGAATTACACAGTTCCCTGCATGTAGAAAGCTAGCACAGCAGGAGGGGTGCAGCCGTCCTGACAGGCTAGATTTTCATTCACCTTGCGAGGAAGGTGGTAGTCTGTTTATATTTTGTGATCGCCTCATAAACTATGACTGGAAAAATCCTTGGCAGTTGAGATGTTTCGGACTTCAAGTCCCATGTCCAAGTCAGCAGGGCCAATGTTAAAGGATTTTGGGAGTTGTAGTCCTCCTGAATAATGGCAAAAATGCACCCAGACTCTACCACGTTTCCTCCTTTTCACTTCCGGATGGATTTGAATTAAAATTCCATCACAATCTTGTCCGATTTCTTTCTTTCTCTCACCAAAAATCGCTTCTATAACAGAAGTAGGAAACTTAAGGCCTTCCAGATTGATTTAGATTGCAGCTCGCATCGTTCCTCAGCATAAGCCATGCCGGCTGGGGCGGCTGGGTGTTGTAGTCCACCGGGAGCCCTTCTACACCCCCAACTGGGAAGAGGGGTTCCTGGGAATTGTAGTCTGTCTACTTTTGGGATGTTTCAATGGATCAAGTGTGACCGCCCTCAGCCTGGCTGCTCCCCAGATGTTTTGGCCATGAGCTGACTGTGGATGATGGGGTTTGTAGGCCAAAACATCCTAAAAGAGCCAAGTTAGGGGAAGGGAGTCTTAAGAAAATTCAGCTGGCACCGAATCACAGAAGCTAGCTTTGGATAAGCTTAGGGGAGGAATCGGGAGGCTGGTGAACTTTTGGGACTACAAAGCTCAGCATCCCCCCCGCTGGCTTTACATGTGCTTTGCAGATGAAAAAATTCCTGATTCAGCACCGGGATTTTGCACTAGGCACCAGCAAAGCGTGGAGTCCTAAAACGGTAGAACTGGAAGGAATGCCACAAAAGTAATCTACTCCAACTCCCATCAATCCTGGAAATCCACCATGAAAATATTCCACTTCTCGCTGCAGGATCTCTGTCACTGAACCAAGCCAGAACCTTGATGGGAGAGCCCTTCCCAGAGAGAGCACAAGCAAAGAAGCGGCGAGGTCAGAGGTCCCGGGACTCCCATAATCCTGTGCCACCTGCTCCACTGGCGGAGGCGGATGGGAGTTGTAGTCCCCTAAAAAAACCAACAACCTCAAAACCATCCAAAGGGTGGTTTTGTCCACCCTAGAACCAGAAAATACTTTAAAAAAAGGAAAAGTGGCTCCAGATCTCCCTTTGGAATGATTTCTCCAGGGGAAAAGAAATTCACCTTCAAAACATATAGAGATTTTCCATTTAGCCTAAATCTGGCTCTCGGCAATGTCTCACCCTGGGCCTGAAATATACCGGCATTGAGACCAAACAGTGTGTGTGGGGGGGGAGATACTGTGAAGTCTTAAGAAAGTTTGATTTTATTGTGTTAGCAAGGACTTCCCAGAATCTGGTTTCTTACCCTCAATCCACTTTAACGACATAACACCGCTTATCTATCTATCTATCTATCTATCTATCTATCTATCTATCTATCTATCTATCTATCTATCTGACATCACACTGCTTATCTATCTATCTATCTATCTATCTATCTATCTATCTATCTATCTATCTATCTATCTATCTATCTATCTATCTATCTATCTATCTATCTATCTATCTATCTATCTATCTATCTATCTATCTATCTATCTATCTATCTATCTATCTATCTATCTATCTATCTATCTATCTATCTATCTATCTATCTGTCCGTCCGTCCGTCCGTCCGTCACTTTAAGGCCCTTTCCCTAACTTTCGCCTTGCAAATTTTCCTGGCAGTTCCAGAGAGTAGGGGACACCCCCCCTGCCACTGCCCAGTGGGTCCCAGAAAAGAAATACCAGTTCTCCCAACTTGGTGTTAAAGGATGGAACCTCCACGGAGCTCCCTCCGAACCAGAGAGACACACCAGCTTGTGTGGCCGGCCGGTCTCTCTGGCCTGTCCCTTCGCACGGAATCGCATTTCCCAAGGAAAGCTTTGTATTCGCTCCTTTTCGCAAAGCGGAAGACCCTCTCCCCAGATGGCACAGCACAAGCCAGCGTTCATTATAATTCTTCTCCTTCTTTAATAAAATAGCAGGGCATGAAAAATAATTGTATAT